AATGAGATTGATTGGCACAATGGCAGCAGCAATGAATTCAAGTGTAACAATGATTGTGAGGTTGGTGCAGACCAGGCAGTGTTTCATTCTATTGTGCATAGGGTCACTATGAATCAGAACCAACTCGATAACACCTGTGTATTTAAGGTGTAAATACACCATTAAAAGACTTCAGAAAAAGTCAAAGGCCTTTGTGTTGCTGTTAAGTGTCATTGAGTCTATTTCAACTCATAACAACCTTATATAGGACACAACAGAACAAAACACTGCCTGGTCCTGGACCATCCTTACAATTGTTACAAGTGAGCCCACTGCTCCTGCCACTATGCCAATTTATCTCACTGGGGGTTTTCCACTTTTTCACTGACTCTCCAGACTCTCCACTTTCCCAAGTATAATGTCCTTCTCCAGAGACTGGTCCCACCTGATCATATGTCTGAAGTATGAGAGACAGAGTCTCACTATCCTGTCTTCTAAGGAGCATTCTAGATGTATTTCTTCCAAGACAGGTTTGTTTGTTCTGGCAGCAAACAATATGTGGTATTTTCAATATTCTTCTCCATAACTCATATGCATAAATTCTTTTATGGTCTTCTTTATTCATTGTCCAACTTTCACGTGCATATGCGACATGAAAACACCATGATTTGGGTCCTCAAACTAATATCTTTGCTCTTTGTCACTTTAAAGAGGTCTTGTGCAGCAGATTTGTCGTTTCATTTCTTAGCAGCCACTGAGTGTTGCTTGTGGATCCAAGCAAAAGGAAGTCCTTGACAATTTCAATCTTTTCTCCATTTATTATGATATTATTTATTGGTCCAATTGTGAGGATTTTTCATTTTATTTTATTTTATTTTATTTTACACTGGGGTATAACCTATACTGAAGGCTTTGATCTTCATCAGTATTTTAAGTCATCTTTGCTTTTAGCAACAAGGCTGTATCATCTGCATATCACAGGTTGTTAATGAATCTTCCTCCAATTCTGAAGCTACATTCTTCTTCATATAATTCAGCTTCTCGGATTATTTGCTCAGCATACAAATTGAATAAGTATGGTGAAAGAATACAGTCCTGGTGTGCATCTTTCCTGATTTTAAACTATTAAGTATCCCCTTGTTCTATTTGAACAATGCCTCTTGATCTATGTTCAAATTCCTCATGAGCACCATCAAGTGTTCTGGAATACCCATTCTTCCCAACATTAACCATAGCTTGTCATGACCCACACAGTCAAAAGCCTTAGCATAGTCAATAAAGCACAAGTAAACATCTTTCTGCTATTTTCTGTTTTCGGCCAAGATTCATTTGACATCTGTAATGATATCCCTAGTTCCACGTCCTCTTCTGAATCTAGCTTGAGTTTCTGGCAGTTCCTGTCAATATACTGTTAAAGCCATGATTTAATTGTGTTCAGTAAAATTTTACCTGCATGTGATATTAATGATATACTGATTGATTATTTCTGCTCAAAGCCCCTAGTTAATCTAAATTTCTCTCTTTAGACCATGGATTGTTGCTTTGGAGGACTTCTGGTGTGGCGCTGTGGGTGAATGTGCTGGACTGCAAAGTCGATTTGAACCACAAGGTCAGTGGTTCAAGCTCATCAGTCGTTCCTTGGAAAACCTATATAGGGTTGCTATGGGTTGGAACCGACTCCACAGCACTGAACAACAACAATCTTTAGATAAGGTAGAGAAGTCACGGAAAGAGTATTTGTTTTGAAGTTGTTCAAATCTGGATCCCAATTGGCACACAGCAAGCCTGTGGCCCTGGGTGTTTTACCTCCCTGAAGATTAGTTTCTTCGCTGTGTCTACCTCCCTTGAATTGATGGTTTGCACTTCTGTCCTTCCAGTTCTCTCTCCCTTCCTCCACATCTACAAAATGCCTCTGTACCAGGAGTTCTCAATGGCAAAGTACCATCTCCTGAGAGGTACCCTGGGGTGCTATTGATGTGCAAAAGCACCAAACAATCCTACACAACAAAGGCACATGTGATATCCAAACATCTTACAGAAACTCAGTGTTGAGTAAAAAATCCATGTATGATTCAGCCTGTATTTTAACTCTGTTTTCCATATAATCACAAAATTGGTTAAAATAAATAAATAGTTTGAATAATTACTGAATTTTCTAGAAATGCAACCACTTTATAGATCAAAGGAAGAAAATATTTTACTTTGTTCAGAATTTATCCAACATTTGTCTACTAGTTCGGAAAATCATTGTAGGAAGACCATTTCAGGTGTCTGATCATCTTACTATACCTCTGTATCAGGAAGCGTTTGTAAATTCACTTGACTACATCACTATTTCTTATAGGGTAACTAGAAATACATACTGAAATACTTAATATTAAAATACTGTTAGCATACATACAATTTAACTATAAATTGCATTCCTATTATTTCTCCTTTACATTACAGTTGGGATTTTATTTATGTTAAGTATATGCAACTCTTTCAAGTTCACCAGGAAATTTTCTCTTGGCCCAGGGCACAGAACTCAACTACATTTCCTAGCCTTCCTTGCTATTAAGTTTTTTGCATATGACTGACTGCAAAGTCAGTTTGAACTGCAAGGTCAGTGATTCAAGCTCACTAGCTGCTCCTCAGAAACCCTATACAGGGTTGCTATGGGTTAGAACCAACTTGACGGCACCTAACAACAACAACAACATGTGACTAAGTCTAAGTTCAAGTCAATGGAATATGAGGTGTGCCATCCCAAAGGAGCTCTGGTAGCGTAGTGATTATGAATCGGGCTGCTAATCTCACGGTCAGCAGTTCGAAACTACCAGCTGTTCTGCAGGAGAAAGATGAGGGTTTCTGCTCTCGTAAAGATTTGCAGCCTTGGAAACCCTGTACAAGGTCGTTATGAGTTGGAACCGACCGACTCCATGGCACATAACAACAACATCCCTGAGCCTAGGCTTTTTATTTATTTATTATTATTAATACTTTTTATTGTGAATTGAGTGAAAGTTTATAGAGCAGATCATCAGTTTTACATTCAACATAAGATATGCTTCATTTAATCTCAATGATTGCAATCCCCTCCATGTAACATTACATATTCCACTTCCTCCCCTAGGTTTCCTGTTTCCATTCCTCCTTCTTTCCAAACCCTTCTGAACTTCGTCCTTAAGTAAATACTGCCCTTCTGATTTCAAACAGTTGACACTATCCTATGATGTGCATACCTCACTAGGGTTGTTGTCCCTCCTATAGACCTATCTATTGCTTGTGAGTCTAGTTTTTAAGAAGCTGCAAAGAGCATTCTTCTCCCATGTTCTTTTTCTCTATCTGCTTCTGGATTGTGTAGGATGTCTGTTGCCAGGATGGTGCCCTGAGGTTACATTTTTCCTGACTCAGTGAAATGATAAATCTGGAGATTAAATATGAATTAGAGAAAAGAACTGTGACTATTTTAACATCCTGTGTTATAGTGCAAAATTTATACCTACAACATATTCTTTCTATGATGCAACTAAAGTGTTTTGGGGGTTTTTTTTCAGAGCAGATATAAACATTGAGGAGAGTGATTTGTTACCTTGATGCTCAGGACATCTAGCCTCACTATACCAATTTGTCTAACCATAATAAAGGGTTTGGTACATATCTCCAATATCATTTAAATTAATGTCATGTCACTCATGACTAAGTGAATAAGAGATAGTAACCTAGCGGTTAAAGAGTCCTGGTGTGATGCTGTAGGATAATGAACTGCACCGCAGGTTGTTTTGAACCACAAGGTCAGAGGTTCAAACTCACCAGCTGCTCCTTGGAAACACTATACAGGGTTGTTATGAGTCAGAACCGACTCAACGGCACTTAACAACAACATCTTAGTGATGACAGCTTTCCAGTGTTGTACCTATGCTTTGAAAAGTTTCAAACTTTTTTTTTAATATAGTCATCTCTCCATATTCATGAGGGATAGGTTCTAGGACCCCCACAAATACTAAAACACATGGATGGTCAAGTTGCTTATATAAAATGGCTTGCCATTGTTTTAAAGTGCCCTTAAATTGGTTCCAACTCCTAGGGACCTCGTATAGGGCTTCTGAGGAATGGATGGTGGGTTTGAACCTCCAACCTTCATTTGCAAGACCAATGCTTACCCTATAATGCCACAGCAGGACTCCAAACCATCTCTAGATTACTTATAACACCTGTTGTTGTTAAGTGCCGTCAAGTTGGTTCCAACCCATAGCGACCCTGTATGGGGTTTCCGAGGAACAGCTAGTGAGCTTGAACCATGAACTGTGCAGTTCAAACGGCTTTGCAGTCTGGTGCATTAGCCCACAGCACCACACCAGGACTCCCAGTACAATGTAAATGCTATGTATATAGCACTTGATGCCTCACTTAGCCGTTAAGGTATTGATTTGATCCCTTAACTGCTTTTTTTCCAGAATATTTTCAGTCTGTGATTGTTTAAATCATCAGATGGAAAATCCACAGATATGGAGGGTCAACTGCATCAGCATTGCTTCATCCCCAATCTAATGTTTGATGGAACCTAATATATTAAAACTTTCCAGAGATAAGCTATTCATGAGGTGCTTAGGAGAGCTAAGATTAAAATACAAACTTCTTGGGAAACAAATAACCTCATCAATGCTCATGAATCCTGAAAACCAATACCCTCTACTAAAGGTTGGGTCTTAAAAGAATATTGTGATCATGGTGGCAGCTGATGTCATTGTTTCTTTTTCCTCCCTCAAAGTCTTTTTAACTCTGTTCTTTATACTCTCAAAGAAATACACTCCCTTGGAAAAGATCACATTGCACCCAAAAGCAAACAGAACGGTATCCACGAGATCCCACCTGCCTCCATCTAGGTGTAGTCCCCAGTTCACGCTAGTCCTGGGTGAGGCTTAAGGGATGACTGAGACATGATTACAATGTTCATCGAGGCTCAAGAGGCCAGGACCAGGTCCCCACATAAAGATTTCCCAACAAAATCTGGAAATGTAAATAAATGTGTACCTTACCTGAAAGAATGGCAAATTGTCTGTGAAGTTGTTCTATTATATCCACTGCCACCATAGGCCTGATTTCCTGCTGCATAATTTCATCTGCACAATGAAAATACAAATTAGGTTAAATCTTGGTAATTTCCACTACAATGGAAACCTGGGACTTAAGTCGTATCTGGTTATGAGCACATTATTCTCTTGAGATTCAATTCCCAAGGTGCAGAAATAGATTCAGGTTCTATGTAGCTCAAAGTTTATATATATGAGAATGGGAACACAATTCCAGAGTCTCTCCCAGGATTTGGGAAAGAGCCAATACAAATGAGGGGCCCTGAAATTTAAGTTTCACTGGTGTAAATCTCCTGTGATGGAACGGTTTCATTACCTGGGCAGGTATTCCACTGAGTGTGGAAGGACACTGTAAACCCAACGGCTATAAGGTATGAGAGACAACAAGATGGCGGATAGGATAGATATGCAGTAAGGAGCTCCAGCAGTAACAACACAGAATACCGGACCAAGAAGGCTCAGGGGATGGTGCTAGAACTCTGAACCACATATAAAGGAATATTTAGAAACTTGGAAGGCTTACAGCTAGGGGATTTGTAACAGAATCAAGAAATCCATTGTTTTCTTGAAGACTCTCAGCTATTCCTGGAGCCTCCATCTTGGGAGAGACCAAGCAGGGGAAGGATCAGAACAGCCACAAATGCCTGACAGAACTGAGGAGATACAGGTGTGGACATTCTTTTTTTGTATCTGTTCATTGGTCTCTGGCTGTCTGTGCACCTCCATTCTGGTGACTAGACGGGATGCCTGAGCGAATAGACACCCCACCGCCACCTCTGGAGGGTTCTACTATGATGATCACAGATCATCTTGAAATTTAAAGTGACAGTTTCCACTTAAAACCAAAAAGCCACCACTCATCTGTCAGTTTGTCGTACTGTGGTGGCTTGTAAGTTGCTGTGATTC